GGATGTGCTTCCAAGATCCCAGTGGATGCCCTGAGGAGACCCACGGGTGGGAGCGACGTCCAGGTGCAGCTCTTCCAAACCTGGGTTTCCACATCGGTGGACCTCTTTGCTGAAAGCGCCTTCCTCAGCTCCCAGACTGGGCTTGGCCAGGGAGACGTGGGAAGCGACCCAGTTCCCACTGCCCCTGCTGGCGATCAGGAAGCTGGCAAGGATCTGGAGGAGAGGCGAGCCCTGCACCCCAGCCTCCTCCGCCTGTCCAGCCGTGGTTGGTTCGGCTCTCTGTGGGGCCAGACGTCTTCTCCTGGACCACGGGGTGATCCTGCAGCAAGGCATCGGGACCGCCCGCCTCGCTGCGCGGGGGTCTGCCAGCACGCCCGGACCGCCCTTCCCTCCCCCGACGTCCTGCGACTGAACACGGGGAAACCCCTGCCGGGCAAAGCGGACCGCTTCCTCTCTTTGCAGCCTCCGCCCGAGTGGAAACCTTCGCTCTGTATCAGGCCGTTAATCTGTGTTCAGTTTGTATTCACCCGCTCTGTTGTGCGCTTCCTCCGTCCGTGTGCTGCACCTCAGAGACCCGCAACCAACCTGCACTAAGGTGGCAGCCTGCTTGTTCCATTGGATGGCCGGCAGCTTTCCGCAGCATTCCCGCATCTGCTGTCCCGTCGATTCGCAGGAGATCTGTGCGGTCTGGCCCCATACCCCTGTTTCTCCCTGCCGGGACGGAGTCCGTCGGTGGTCGCGCAGGCTCTTGCACAGCCCCCTCTGCGCCGTCGGCCCCCGTGGACTTAGGCCTCCGCTCTTGGTGGCCGTCACCCCAGCCAGGCCGGCGAGTGGCGCTTCATTCCGGCATTCCTCGCTTTCTTACGCGTGAGGAGGTTCTGCAGCTTGCCAGACGTTCCTTCCACGTGTCGCGCTGCAGTCCCGTCGTCTCGGTGCCGCTCTTCCCACTCCGTGCAACCCGGTGGCGTCGGCCCTGCGCACTTTGGACTCGTGCAGGGCACTGGCACTCAGCCGGTCCCACACCGAATCCCCTTGCTGCTCCCAGAGACTCTCTGCTGCGTGCGATGGGTGGCTCGGGGTGAGTGGACCGGCCCTCGGCAAGGCCACGCACTGAGTCGCCCGGACCATCAAACCGGCTTGCCGGCTGTCCGGACTGCAGACCCCTGAGCGACCAAGCGCGCATCCCGTCAGAGTAGTGGCAGTGCCTGTAGCAAGGCGCGCTGACACCCCTGCCGCGTCTCTGCACGGCGGCAGCGTGGCCCCCCGTCGCCCTCCATCCGGCCCTGCCAGCTCGACGCCTGCTCCAGGTAGGCTCCCTCTACTCAGCCGAGCAGCGCTCTTGCCGGTCCTCTGCCGCCGACAGCCGCCCTCCCGTGGGAGGCAAGCTCGCCGGTTGCCGCGTGTGTGATGCACAGAGACCCCAGAGAAGAAAGGGAGGTTGCCTGCCTGCCATTGACGTTCCTGGAATGGTCACCTGTGCGTGCGCACGGCCCACCCACCGGTCCCACGCCGGTGCTGAGAGCCTCGCTCCCTGTGGCTTCCTTCCCACCGCTCCCCTACCTGGATGGTGGGGGCCAGGCCCTTGCCGGCTTTGCCTCCTCGGTTCTGAGGCCAAAATGTCAGTCCCAGGAAAAGCGGCCCCTCCGCCCAGGACATATCTAGGAGGGGCTCCTGCCCAGAGGACTTTAGCTGGGAAAATTTTCCCACCAACGGCACCCCTGCAGGCGCGGAGCCCAGAAGGTCCCTTGGCACAGGTGCAGGCAGCTTCCTGGGAAGCACCCTGCCTGTCCCTGGCAAAGGGGCGTGGTGGGGCCCGGGGAGCCAGCTGGTGGCCCACGGGGGATCCTGTTGGCCAGAGGTTCCCCGCAAGAGCTGGAGGAGGTGTGCGGGGAAAGGGAGGCTGGCGCTCGTGCACATCCCAGACGGGTCTGTCTGGCCGGGGAGCCCTCCTCCCGGTGCATGCCAGGGTGGGGAGCACGCTGCCCGCCCCTCGTTCGAGTGCATCTTCCTCTTGTCCGGCTGCCTGCCTAGCCCAGCCTTGCATGCAAACGCCCGGCCACAGGAGGGTTTTTACGCTGGAACGACGGTGGCACAGCTCTGCAGATGGAACCTGAAAAGCCGGGCCTTGTTCCGCACTAGGTCCGTGTGCTGCCTCAGGGCTGCGTTGCTCCTGCTCTGCCGTTGACGCGGCTCGCTGCAGGCGAAGTGAGCTCTCCGCACCACGCGAGGTTTCTGTGCTCCTCCTCTTGTCACTCGCGTTGCCGAGTCAGCCGGTGCCGGCACCGTGCCAGCCTGGCTCGCTCGCTCGGGGGTCCCGGCAGAGGCAGGCCCTTCTTCCCGGGGCCTTCCTGGCTGGCGTTTGCGCTCCGTTGGCGCCGCCTGCTGCCCCCTGGCGGCTGCCTTGCCCGCCTCCCTGCGCAGGGCCTGCTTTTCTCGGCTCGAGGCAGCATGGCCCCGCGGCGGAGCCCGCAGGCCCTCGCCGAGAGCGTCGTCGCAGCAGTAGGCGATTCCGAGAAGAGGCAGGCACGACAGAGAAAGAGTGGCAGAAGAAATGCCGCTCCAGGCTTTTCGTCAGGAGGAACGTGCCGTGCTTCGTGGTCTTTTTGAGGAGACCTGTGTGGGGCGGCCGCGAGCAGCTTCGTGCCGCCGGCAGAGCCCTCCTGCTTCGGGGTGGCGGCGCATCAGCTGCCAAGTGCGCTGCTCAGGCTGCTTGGTGGCGGCGGAGGGTGCGCCGTGGCGGCGGCAGCTGGCGCTCTCTAAACAGCCCGAGGCAGCGCCCTGCCCTGGCCGCCTTCCAGGCCTGGGGCAGGGGAGCCTGGTCCATCGGTGCAGCTTGCGGGGCGCGTGTCAACCCAGACCTCCCGTCCCCGAGACTGGCGGAGAAGCGATGCTCCGCCGGGCCGCTGCGGTGCGGAGTCGCCCCTCGATCTCCGCGGCCTGGGCTCGCCGGCTGTGGCTGTGCGCGGCACCGGAGGCCCATGCGCGCGAGGGGCTCTGCTCCAAGGCCACGCAGCGCTGTGAGGAAGGAGAGCAGGGTGGGGGGAGAGGGGAGAGACAGACAAAACCTTCTCGATGCCAAAAGCCTGGGAAAAAACTTACCTCCGATCAACTCTTTTCAAAGACTTTAATAAAGCCTTTGTTTTCACTGTAATCCCATCTTCTCGTTGGCCCTGTGCTTTCCAGGCCCCCAGCCCCACTTTCTCCCCTTGGCCAAGAGAGTGGGAGTCGGGGGGGGGGGTTCCGAGGCCCGTGCAGTGGGCTGCACACGGCAGAAGGGGATCACACGCCGTGCGGAGTTTACTGCTCCCACGAGGGGTGTTTTGTGGGGCTGCTTTTCTGATTATTCCGTCAAGTCCTCTGGTAAAGCCCATCGCAGGCTGGGTCCCCTCCGAGCGGAGGAGGGCAGATCTCTTTTCCAGGAAGGATGTGCAGCCTCGCCTGCACCCGCACGCCAGGCCAGTGCGTGGGTGCAGTCTGGACCGCCAGGCCGTGGGCTGGAATCTGGCAGGCCGGCTGGGGCCAGATCCTGTCCCGTCCCAAAGTCCCAGTGTGGAACATTTTCCTCGTGGAGCCCAAGGTGAACGCGAGGACAGAGGAAAAGCCCTGCTGGATGAGGCCGAGGGCTTCTCTAGGCCAGTGTCTTTTGGCTAGTAGTGGCCACCAAGATGCCACTGGAAAGCCCACACGCCACGAACAAAGCCGGCTTCCCTGGTTGTTCATGCGCCCAAAACGGGAACGCGGCAGCCTGCCGCCTCCAAACAGAGGGTTTATTTAGCTGTCCGGAGCAAAGACTGCGGGCAGGCCAGCCCCTCTGGGTCCCTGTGAAGTGCCGTTCAGTCCAGACCCACAAAGTGGAATGGGCGGCCTGCTGCGCTGCCAGTGCCGGCTGTGGAGCGGCCGAGGTGCCCCCTGTGACAGCCGCCGCAGTGGGTTCCGGAAGCGCAGTGGGAAGGGAGCTTCCCCTCGCCTGCCCTGAACCCCTGCCGGCCAAGCCCGAGTTCTGATATTCTGGTGAGGGGGAGCAGCCGCTCAGGCCGTCCGCTCTTTTCGTGGCCACGTGGAGCTGTAGTGGGGACTGCTTGGTAGCTGTGATGCCGAAGGCAGCCGGCCCCCTGGGTGCCGTCGCTTCACGTGTGACCACGAGAGAGAAGATTGTGCACGCACAGCCCGCCATTCTCGTTGTGACGGTGACTTTGCATTCATGGCGCGCCTTTCTTCCTCTTAGAAGGAGCACAGAGCGGCTCACACGGTCCTCCTCCATTCCGTTATACCTTAACAACAACCCTGTGAGGTAGGTTGGGCTCCGAGCGCCCCGTTGGCTCCATGGCTGGGTGGGGACTAGAACCCAGGTTGGTCTCCCGAGTCCCCGCCCTGCGCTCTTGACCGCTGCGCCACCCTGGCTCTCAGCTCCTTCCTTACGCTGCATCAGAGCCGAGAGGCAGAATGCGGAGTAACGGGCACATGCGCCTCTGAATGCTGAGAGAAGCAAAGTAGCTTTTGTTTGGACAAATCCAGCTTCTTTCCAAACATAATACAGGACTGTATCCTTGCGCTGTGTCACATTCACAACTTGTATTCAAAAAATTTAAAGTCGGGTTCATGTTTCGGTTCGGACAGATGCTTCCTATTCCGTACTGTCCATTCCCCCCTACAGTCTCAGAGCAGGCTGTGGCCATTGTTCCAGAGGCTGTTCTATCCTGACATTAATGTGAAGCAGGAAAGGGGGAAGCAGGTAGGACCCAGGAAACGCCCTCAGCGCAGCTCCTGCCTGCTCTTCGCGACCGGCCTCAAGCAGGAGGCGCCTGGGGTGGTCCGTGGAGGGCGCCTTGTGCTGTGCTCCGGAGTCCCAGCACGGCTGCACCGGCGCACCACCGCCCTCCTCCCCAGCTCCAGCTGCCTCTGCCCGTGCGCGCCTGTCCCCGTGGCGCTGAGCCTCGGAGGGGGCGAGGCCCACGCGAGGCTCAGCGGGACGGAAGAGCCCTCCCGCCGGTGTGGCGCTGATGGGAAGGGTTGTGCGTGCCATCGCGAGAGACGGCACCGTAGGTGGAACTGCAGTCAGGAAGCCGGGTGGGAGCGGCTCGCACGCACATCCCCTCCTCTTCCTGAGCAAGAGCTGTAACGGTGTCTGCCGTCTTGTGTTGCAGGCTGGAGAGGCTTCTGCCGAGAAAGTGCCGTTGGGCCAGACGTCCGAGGCCACTGAAACTGGCCAGCCGGAGTCTCCCGTGGAGAATGAGTACGCCGAAGACAGCTCTGACGAGGAGGTAAGAGCCCTGCCCGCTGCTCTCGGGGCAGCGGTGGCCTGCCTGGTGCTGTGGTGCCAAGCGAGTCAAGGGACCCCCCTGCCTGTCTGCAGGGCCTGTGGCAGCCTGAACAGTGGGGGCCGCCCGCGTGGCGCCTTGGCAACAAGCGCGTTTGGTGTGGCGTGAGCGTTCCTGGGCCGGATCTCGGTTCTTCCGGCACACAATGTGCTCTCCTGGCCTCCCCATGTATGTGCACCTGATTAGATGGAGAGATTGTAAGCAGATCGGAGGGAAAGGAAATGCAGAACGCTTAGACTCAGGCTGTTCACAAAGCAGACATCTTCAGCCTTGCTAAGCTAGTTAACCCATATGCTCCCCCACCCCCGGCCCAAAATCCTAATTTGAGCCATAGGTGTCTTGACGAACAGTAATTCAGTGGTTTCATGCTGTTGGCTCCCCTAGAAATTCCTTTGCCCAAGAACGGCCCCTCTGCAGTCAGAGAGGGACTGCGGGAAGGCCGAAGTCTTCCCCCACTGGCTTTTGAGTAGTGCCGTGCCCAATGTTGGGCTTGTGCCAGGTTGTTCTTTCGTGCAGAGAGTGGCCTGTTTGTCTGTAGAGGGCGCATTGCTGGCACAGGGTGGGACACCCCGCACGGGGCGGGGAAGCCAGGGAAGGCATTGCTTGCAGCCGGTGTCCCTGTGCCCGCAGCGGCCTTGCCCAGGTAGACGTGGGGCTGGGTTGCCCCTGAGCCTGTGGCGGGGCCTGGCCGCCTGCCTGCCTGCCTGTCTCGGCGCTACAGCCGGTGCTGGCTGGGGAGTGGCTGTTTGAGCTTGGAGGGTGGGTGCTCTCTGCAAGCGGGGGGCAGCCCAGTGGCCGTGGCCCACGCGGGAGCCATCGCTGCACAGCATGGGCTGCACTTCGCTGAAGCCGCGCGGCTCAGGGGGCTGCGAAAAGCTGTTCCCAGGCTGCTGATGGCGGTAGATGATCTCCCCTGCCGGGAGCAGTAGGCTGGGAGCACCCGTTGCCGGGGAGGGCATGTTTGCGCTCGCCTTCCTCATGGTGTCCAGCCACCGTGGGAGCAGAGTGCTGCGCTGGAAGTGCTTCTCGCCCCGTCCAGACCGGTTCTTCTCCTGCCCTTTTGAGCAGAATGGCTCCACAGTCAGAAAAAAGCTGGAGGAGGAGGAGACTGGCTCCTTGTTTCCTGCAGGAGAGGAAAATCTTCTGGATCTGCTTTTGGGTCGGTGCGCGTGCTTGGTGCGCACTTCCCCACACGCCGCTGACAGCCTGTAGTCTGTACTGTGCGGGTCCATGGGGGCAGTTTCTTCCCACGGTGTCCGAGGGAGGGAGGGGGAGAGAGTGACTGGTCGCGGGGCGCACCGCTCGCCTCTGGTGGCAGCTGGACTGCCGGTGCGAGGGGGCCCTCGGGGCTGAATGCGGGGGCCGCCCCTGCCCAGAAAAGCCAAAGACAGCCTGCTTGGGGCAGGAAGGTCTGATTACTTTAGCCGGTGCCTGTGCTGTGCCAGAGGGTTTGTGTTGGGTGGAAGGGAGGGAGGCAGTCGTGCTTGTGACACCGAAGAGGCTGCATCTTTCGCAGCAGTTGGCCGGAGGGGAAGGAGCCCTGACGGGCTGGAGCACTGGGTGGAAACGGCCAGATTAGATTGCAGCCCGGAAGGAGGCCTGTGCAGCGAACGCAGGAGAGGAGGCCCTCCAGAGTCCCTGATACTGGAAGAAGGGTGACGGGCCGGGCAGCGCCATCGCGGAGGAGGGCCTGGAGGCGACACGAGTCACGTGTGAACTCTGGATGTGCCTCGGCCGCAAAATTGCCAGACCCTCTCAGAGCTGGGGCTGCAGGAGTCATTATGCACCGCCGAACAGCTGGCGCTGCGTCATGCAGAGGATTCTGCGTGCCCAGCAGGACTTTGTCGAGTGGAATAAGGCTCAGAGCAAAATCGCGGAAACGGCAAGAGCGGCCTTAGGAAGAGTAGTCCGGGCAGAGACCTGGCTCGCGTGGCACAGCGGCTGGCCATGTGTGACCGGCCGTGGCCGATTGCCATGCCGTCCCAACCAGGGCCGCTTCCCTCGGGGCAGTAAACTTTGCTTGCGTGACCCGCATTGGGCTGGCGTGCCAGCAGAATCCTGGAGAGCAAGAGTGCCGTGGCTTGCAGGGGCTGGGTAGCGAGCCGCTTGGCGGGAGCCGTGGGGCGCGGGCTGCGCTTCGCCCTCTCGCTGGCGCTGCTGCCGGAGGCGTCCCCGGCCCGTGCCCGGGCAGGGCTTCCGCGCAGTCCAGGGAGCTCTGCGGTTTTGCTGCTGCTGCCGCTTCAGTTATCACCGTGTTCGCCGGCCTCTTACACGCGTGCACTCCGGGCTGCCCTGCAGGACACGTTTTGCCTCCACGGTTTCCTTGCACGTTTCAGCCACCCAAGGAGCTGGGAGTGGAGCGCGTGAAGCGCATGGGAACGGTCAGGGGAGGTTCCCAGTCACCCATAGAGGGCATGTCTCTTGAATGTGCCCCCCCGGCAGCTTTCCCCTTTCTCCGATGCGATTCAGCCGGCAGCCAGGGATTCAGGGCCCGGCCGCCGTGCAAGCAGCCTCGCCTTGTCGGTCCGGTTCTCACGGCGCTTCTGCGCTCCCTTTGGCAGCTGGGGCAGACGAGGGAATTGACCATGCAGGACTCTTCATGCTGGACAGCTGCAGGTGCACCCTGGTGAAAGAGCACCCTCCAAAGCATTGCCATCGCCGCCGTGCAATTTTCCAGGGGAAGAAAGAAAAGAAAACTCTGCCCGCTCTCTCGATCTCCCCATAAAAGTCCAGTGGCAATGTGAAAGGGGCTGCGGCCGGCGATGGTTCTGCCACAGAGGAAACTGCGATACTGGCTGGGAAGACCTGGAGGAAAACCAGCCCCGTGTCCCAGCACTGTGCTCTGTACCATGAATGGCCCGCCTTCTATGGCTTCGGGCTGGGCAAAAAGCGAGTAGGCCCAGCGGTCCTCTAGGCACCTTCAAGCAGGGCGAGCAGAGGGGGAGCCATACGCCGGAGGCAGCAGGGCGGGGGCTTCCCAGGCTCGGTGTGGCGCGCCCCAGTCGCCATGCGGAAGGAGGGCCTAGTTAGTGGCTGGGCAGGCAGGTGACGCGGGGGGTGCCAGGGCGAGGCGCTCTCGGTTGTGGTGGAGTCGGAACCCTTTTGGAACTGGCTCCATAGGAAACGCTGCAGGACGTGCGGAAGGCATTTGTTCTTCGGTTGAGGCAGCCAAGGCAGCCTCGCTTCCTCTGCACACGTGTGCGCAGCTGCTGGGGGTACGCGCTGCCGCCTGCACGCGTTCCCTTGCAGCCTGAGCTCTGCAGAGCAAGGTGGGCAGGGTCTTGGCCCTCCGCCTGCCTTAGTCTATAGCCTGTCATCCGTCCCTGTGTTCTGTGCTGGCTGGGGCTGATGGGAGTTGTCGACCCAAAGCACCTGGGCGCCTGCCCTTGTGTAGACCACGCAGTGGCTTGGCTAAGCTTCTGGAGGAAGACGGTGATTCGGGGTTTTCTGTGGGGGGGTTCGAATGGCATGGAGCCCTGGAGACGAGGGGACTGAATCTGGAGTTCGCTGCTCGGGGATCCTGAGCAGTGACTTTTTGCCGCCCTGCCCTTCTGGCCCGGCGAAGGCTCGCACGCGGGGCATCTGCAGACTGGAAGCCCACCTGGTCTCCGGCGAGAGCTGCGGAAGTGCTGGGTCTGGAATAGAGATTGAGAGTGTAATGAAATATATGGCCATACAGAACGTATGCTTGTGTAATGTCTCGATCGTAACCCCGGGACGCAGCTCTTTCATGTAGGAATCCAAGGTTTTTCCCTCCCCAGCTGTTCCCATTTCAGGGTCCCAGTGGGGGGAGCACTGATTCAGAGCCTGTTGACATCGGACTGGCTTCCAGGGGCTTTGTTCCTGCCCCGCTGTAATTGCACTTATCTCTCCTCCAGCGGAGCCTCAGGGCTTCTGCTTCGTGCGTCCCGGCCGTGTTCATGGGGAGCGCTTCTCATTGCACGGTGACCCCGTTTATCTGCAGATGAAGCCGTTCCCTCGGAGCAGCTTCTGTTTCTAGACTCTGAATCAGACGCGCCAGTCAAATCATCACGGCCCATGTATGCGTATGGCGAACACGGCAAATAGGGATTTTAATCGTGATTGCTCTTTATGAGGGTGCATTTTGTCCATCACAGAACCATACATAGAGCAGAGGAGCTGGAAGGGCCACCAGGTCCAGCGCCTGCTCAGCACGTGACACCGGTGCTTCTCGTAGGGGGGAGCCAGCAACCCCCCCGGGCCATCCGTCCCATTGTCATCCTGCTGTGACGGCCGGGAGCATTTTCCTGCTAACCGGCCGGCATCTGGCTTCCGGCCTCCTGAGCCCGTTACCCAGGGGTGATCCAGGAGCGATCCTGCCCTGCCCTTAGTGACGCCCCTGCCTGTCCTGTCCTGGTGCAGTGCCACGTGTCTCCCCTCCATCTTCACTTCTCGTGGCTCAACCTGCCCGGCTTGCAAATCAACCACCTTTGAATCGGGAGCTCTTTGCCTTCAAGCAGCAGAATGCGGTGACAGCCTTCTCCACGGAGCCAGTCGCCCTCTGAAGTCGCGCGGAAGTGGAGGCTGTCGCACATTGTGCGGAAGTTCATTCCGCGACGCGACCGTGCTCTGTGCGCCGATGCCCTTCCTCTTATCTGTCCTCCGTCTCCCGCGGACTGACGTCCCGGGGTGGCCCTCCCGCGCTGCTGCGAGCAAGGGAGACACGCTTCCGCTCCGCTTTCTCCACGCCATAATTTGGGGCACCTCCACGAAGTCTCACCTCCCCTTACTTTTAAGCCAGACAAGCACTGCGGTTGCAGCCTTTTCCCAAGGAGCTCCGGTCAGTCCTTGGTGGTTTTAACTAGCCTAAAGAATTTGGTGATTCTGGTCCATTCATGAGCAGTTTGAAGAGCATTGGCTCTCTCCAGTACAGGTTGCTGTGGGGCCCTGTCGTGTACATCCCCCCACTGTTCCCTTGCCTT